ATCCAGAATCATTCTATACAAGTCGTTCACTAAGTGAGTTAATTCAGAAAACTGCATCATTAAATCTTTTGTCAATGGAATCAGTTCAGTAGTATAGTAATATTCAAAGTATATTTATCTCAAACACTATTGAATTGTAATGATTTGATATAGATTTAATAGGCAATGGTGGTAGTATTATAGCTATAATTTTTCATTTACATCAATAAAATAATTTTTAAAAGGAATTAATATAGAAAATTTTACCAGTTGTAAAGAATATGTGAAAAAATTTTTAAAAAAATAAAAAAAAATTGTCATGGTTCAAAATAATATTTTTGTTGAAAGAAACATGCTTTAATTTACATATAAACTTAACCAGTTAATATTTGAGAAACAATTATCAAAAAAAATGAATTGGGGGCAAAGAGAAGTGATTTGTTATAAAAATCCTGCAATGCGTTCATAGGTGACTAACCAAGGCTGTAGTAGGGAGGTATTGAATACATTTTCTAGAATATCTGGTATAACTAATGGACTGCCCATTCTTTTTTGTTCTTACCAATAGCTTGGGTAATTCAATTATTTTGGTCAAGTATTTTATAAAATAAGAATATAATTAATATTCTTCATGATGGTTAGAGTGAGTGTGTTTAGACAAGAAACTTGCTAAATTGTGATTAATTATCCCATTTCATTGATTTCATTTAAATTCATTTCATAAATAATGTCATTTCATAAATAATAGTGTGAAAAAGTAGTGTGAATTCATTGCATGAAATATGGGACAATTGAGCCTTTGTAGAAATGATTGGATTCACTAAAATAAGATAAGATAATAATAAGAGAAAAGCTGTGTTAGTGTTAGAGATTGTGTATTCAAGCAGGAAGTGTCCTAAAATTTCATTCAAACTCAAACTTTTACACATTCAATATTTTATTTTGGTTCTCTCTGGCACATCAGGAGTTTTATAGATCATACAATCATTCTTATGAAACTCACTTATCTTGTGATATATGTACAATGTGAAACCATTATTTGTGAGTGCACCTATTATTAAATAAAATTATTATGCTTGTTATAGTAGAAGGTAAAATTGGAGGAAAGGATGATAATTGACCTTTAAAAGTAGAAGGTGAAGTAGTGATGTTAATTGATTGATTTTTCACAATTGCTAATCAAAATTGAAAAAATCCATTATAATCAGATAGGCAAATTGAAACAATAGATTATCAATTTGCAATTGATTTTTTATATTGTGAGTAGTTGTTTTATGTTTATGTTTATGACTGAGTTTGGGTTAATTTTTTAGCCACACTTGTCAATTAAATTGCATCTTTTATATTCAATGCTTGTCAATTAATTTATTTTGAATTTATTTACAATTATCCTGCTTAGAAAGCTTTGGCGAATCTGTAGCACTCTTTATAGTACAATAAACATGTTAAATGTGAAATAATTAAAATTTTATTTTCAATTTTATACAAATTTTTTATTTCATTTCAAAAAAATACTTGATCAACAGATTGTGAGCAAAGTCTGTTTCGCAACAAAGTAATTGTTGATCTGATGTAAATGAGCTTCATATTGATGATTTTTTTATAAGCATGAACATTAAAAAACTACATGAATCAACTTGTTTTAACTTAAACAACTTTAAAATAATTTTGCCCAATTTCGGCTAATAACAAAAAGTAGTTTGGGCTTATAAAAAAAGAATTTTTGCCCAAAGTATTTGGGCAATTTCGGCTACTAATAGAAGCAGTTTCAGCCAGAAACCTTAATTGGCACCATGAAAAAATTCTTTAACTGGTTAACTTTTATTAATTGGTTAATTTAATCATATGAAAATTTTAACTTGATAGTAATAGTATATGCACTAAGCATGTTAGCCAACATTGCTTCTCTTAATAAATTATTGTTGCTGAATCTGAAATGCTGAAATAGTTGCCAAAATTAACTTTATTGGTTACTAAAATTATATCCAAAATTATTTGAACACTTTGACTCAATAGCTGAAATCCTGGGTAGTTTTTTTATGTCTGTTAATACAAGGAATGTTATAAATCCAAAATTGCTCGCTGAAATTGATTTTTTTCAGGAACCATTTCAGCTAACATGCTTAATATGCATTATCCATAGTCCTTGTAGTGATAATAATAATAACTTTTTTCCTACTAGCAAATAGTCATAGTAGGGTCTCTATTTGAATAATAATTATTTGTTTTATTCATTATAAATTTGAAAAAATGAATAACAAACAAAACAAATAATGAATAAAATGAACAACAATAACAAATAAATTAATATTAACAAATAAAATGAATAACTTGAATAAACTGAATAAATTCAAATTAATATTAAAATTGAGTTGTATCATGATTACATCACTCTGATCAAAAATTCCCACAATTTAATGATCATCATGTTCTTTACTTTTTTTATTGGTCTTGATGAAGGTGTATCAAATGATCTGTATTGCTTGTCACATTCTGGATTTTTCCTTTTGTGTGTTTCCTATGTACACATGAATCAGGAAGGTAGACATCATTTGTATGGTTGCAAATTGTCTTTAATGTGAACTAAAATGATATGAATATGATAATGAGATGTTATATATTAACTACAATATAGTACCTTGACATTTGACATAAGTGCATAAAAACCTTTGAGAATTGCAAGTGACTTCGGGGTATTGGGCATCTTGTTTTGGGAAAGTCATCCTAAGTGTAACATGTTCTTGGCATTACAATCCATTCCATAGATTTCATAGATTCACCTTTAACATGAGAACAAAAAAGTAAATTAATTACTAAAATTTTTGAGATTTAAGTATTTATTTGCTTACCCCATGATTGAATTCCAAGAACATACCTGTGGTGAAGATCATCTCCAGGTGTATTAGGATTTGGTTTAAAAAAATTATATGCATAGTTACAGCAAGATAATCTCTTTATGAATACTAATTGCCCAAGCAAGTATAAGAGGAATCTAATATTACATTAAATATATAATAAATATATATTACAAAAAAAAAACTATACACATACATATACATAAATACAAAAATACCCACCTGTCGTCTACTTGCTAATACAACATTACCAACAGTTTCTAATCTCCACTCAGCTTCACGAACAACCAACTCTCTATTTTCAGTAAACCTAACTATTGGTAATATTTCATCTCGCTGGTCAAACTCCATAATTTCATCTTCACCATCATAATAACTTTTTCTAGTAGCATCTGAATAAAAACCAACAACAATACCTCTACTCCCATTAACTAAATCTCTATTGATGTTTTTAATAAGCATTACTTGCGCACCACGTTTTAATTCCAATTTATCTGGTGCCAAGCAACCTTTAATAAGTGTCTTTAATTGACCAATTTTGGTCGGTTCATAGTCTTTGGCATGGTATATATATGATTTATTTTGAATTTTACTTAAAAGCACAAGATTTGCACTAGTAACTTTATCAACTCTTGAGTATCTTGTAATTTAACAAATAAATAAACAAATAATTAATTATCAATATTATATAAGTATATATTATATATATATATATGAATATTGATCAACTTACAATTCTGTAGCTTGAATTCCATCATTAGGATATTGTGGTGAAAGTTTTAATCTATTCATTATTTTCAATGTTTTTTCAGTCACAATGCCCAACCTAATCTCATTTAACATATCAATAAGATCTATAGAATCAGAATTAAAATTAGATCAATTTATCAAATAGACAAATTAATAATAATAATAAATATCTATTCTTTACCAGATTCCTTCTGTCTAAAAACGGTGGATAATTGTAAAAGTTAAATTATAATATAATACTTACCAACTGGTTATTATAAAGAAATAAAAAAACAAATTATTTAATTAGATGACATTTAATTTGTGTTGCAAAAGTTAATTTACAATATAATACTTACTCCCTGGTTATTATAAAGAAATAAAAAATAAATTTATTTGATCAGATGATGTTGAAGATAAAGTTTATTTTGTGTTGAAAAGTTAATTTATAATATATTACTTACCCTCTATGAAATAAAAAATAAATAGATGATGTTTTAATGAAGTTTATTTTGTGTAATAGAAGTTAATTTATAATATAATATTTACCCCCTGGTTATTATAAAGAAGTAAATTTATTTAATTAGATGATGTTTTAATAAAGTTTATTTGTAAAAGATTTATTTACCTTTATAGAATTTAGCTAAATGTTGTTTTATTTATTATAAAGCAAATATTAAATTATGATGTAAAAATCCTTTTACTATTACTATGTATTTTTAAAATAGTTATTTTCTTTGTAAGAAAAAAAAATACCTTCATTCATTTTTTTATTTGGAATATAAGAAATTTTTTGTCTGTTCTTTAGTAGTACAAAATAATTTAGAGGTGTTAATTCCAGATGAGACAATGTGTTGTGAAAGTTATTTTATAATATAATATAATATTTACCAGCTGGTTATTATGAAAAAATAAAGAATATTTAATTAGATGATGCTATAAAAATTTATTTTGTGTTGTAAACTTACTTACATGCTGATTATTATGTTATTATAAAGAAAAATAAATTTATTAATTGATATTTTAATAAAAAATATTTGTGTAAAAGTTAATTTTATAATATGATACTTACTCCCTGGTTATCATAAAAAAGATTTATTAGATGATGTTTTAAATAAATTTATTTTTGTGTTAATTTATAATACACCACTTACCAGCTGGTTATTATAAATAAATAAAAATAAACTTATTAATTAGATATAAAAATTACAAAAATTGATTTATAATACAATATAATTAATACTTACCAGCTGGTTATTATAAAGAAATAAAGTTAATTTTATTTAGTTGTTATAAAAATTAATTTATAATAATACCTACAATCTGTTTATAAAGAAATAAAAAATAAATTTACTTATTAGATGATGTTTATTTTGTGTTGTAAAAGTTAAATTATAATATAATACTTACCAACTGGTTATTATAAAGAAATAAAAAAACAAATTATTTAATTAGATGACATTTATTTTGTGTTGCAAAAGTTAATTTACAATATAATACTTACTCCCTGGTTATTATAAAGAAATAAAAAATAAATTTATTTGATCAGATGATGTTGAAGATAAAGTTTATTTTGTGTTGAAAAGTTAATTTATAATATATTACTTACCCTCTATGAAATAAAAAATAAATAGATGATGTTTTAATGAAGTTTATTTTGTGTAATAGAAGTTAATTTATAATATAATATTTACCCCCTGGTTATTATAAAGAAGTAAATTTATTTAATTAGATGATGTTTTAATAAAGTTTATTTGTAAAAGATTTATTTACCTTTATAGAATTTAGCTAAATGTTGTTTTATTTATTATAAAGCAAATATTAAATTATGATGTAAAAATCCTTTTACTATTACTATGTATTTTTAAAATAGTTATTTTCTTTGTAAGAAAAAAAAATACCTTCATTCATTTTTTTATTTGGAATATAAGAAATTTTTTGTCTGTTCTTTAGTAGTACAAAATAATTTAGAGGTGTTAATTCCAGATGATCATGGATGATCAATCCAAGCCTGTAAAAAAAATCTTATTCAGAGACAGATGTAGTGAGTGGTCTTACCCACCGACTGATTGATCACCAACTATCCAATTAGTTGAATGTAGAAATTTATAAATACTCAACCAAATAATTGGCAATTAATCTTGATAATAATAAAAATAAAGATAAAAATATTTTCACAAGATTTATTAATCCTTGTGGGAATATATATATATATTTTTAATTAAAGATTGGCATTAAGGTTTCTGGCCCAAACTGTTTTTTCAAAGCCCAAACTAGTTTGGGCAATTTGGGCTTCTCAACATTTTTTATAAGCATGAACATTAAAAAACTACATGAATCAACTTGTTTTAACTTAAACAACTTTAAAATAATTTTGCCCAATTTCGGCTAATAACAAAAAGTAGTTTGGGCTTATAAAAAAAGAATTTTTGCCCAAAGTATTTGGGCAATTTCGGCTACTAATAGAAGCAGTTTCAGCCAGAAACCTTAATTGGCACCATGAAAAAATTCTTTAACTGGTTAACTTTTATTAATTGGTTAATTTAATCATATGAAAATTTTAACTTGATAGTAATAGTATATGCACTAAGCATGTTAGCCAACATTGCTTCTCTTAATAAATTATTGTTGCTGAATCTGAAATGCTGAAATAGTTGCCAAAATTAACTTTATTGGTTACTAAAATTATATCCAAAATTATTTGAACACTTTGACTCAATAGCTGAAATCCTGGGTAGTTTTTTTATGTCTGTTAATACAAGGAATGTTATAAATCCAAAATTGCTCGCTGAAATTGATTTTTTTCAGGAACCATTTCAGCTAACATGCTTAATATGCATTATCCATAGTCCTTGTAGTGATAATAATAATAACTTTTTTCCTACTAGCAAATAGTCATAGTAGGGTCTCTATTTGAATAATAATTATTTGTTTTATTCATTATAAATTTGAAAAAATGAATAACAAACAAAACAAATAATGAATAAAATGAACAACAATAACAAATAAATTAATATTAACAAATAAAATGAATAACTTGAATAAACTGAATAAATTCAAATTAATATTAAAATTGAGTTGTATCATGATTACATCACTCTGATCAAAAATTCCCACAATTTAATGATCATCATGTTCTTTACTTTTTTTATTGGTCTTGATGAAGGTGTATCAAATGATCTGTATTGCTTGTCACATTCTGGATTTTTCCTTTTGTGTGTTTCCTATGTAC